GTTTTAGCTGTCGTATAAAAACAAGCCCTCTACTGGGTTAATTTTTTATTTTTATATGATACGGTAAGGACATCGACTTTTGTTGTGAACGATATGGTCACTATTGATTGACATAGTTGATTGAATATACAAGGTGATTTGTATTAGGCCTCGAACTGATCTGTATTCCGTTGATATAAAACGGTTGTATCAAGGAATTTTGTTTTACATACCATGCTTTATTTCTTTCTCGGAATCCTTCAGCTCCACTTCTTCACTAGCAATTTTGTTTGTCTGGCTTGAAAAAAGGTCTGTTCTATAGCTGTAGGAGACTAATTGTAAAGAAAAATCAGTGACATCGTGTTTGCAGAAGCCGCAACTTCATTTTATGGAGAAAGAAAACTGAAGTTCACATACGCTGTCACCAATAATCCGCACAAGAGCAATCCGTCCTTAAAGCAGTGAAACCTGTGGGCATCTCGCACGGTGATTTCTCTCCCAGCCTTGGCAGAGATAAATTTGATTGCATTGTGGCAGTCCCCACTCTATTGTCGAGAGCAATCCAAACACAACCGCTAGCTTTTCGCTGTGATGACCTAACCTTATCTCCCCCTCTTCTTGCACAGACTCATCATCCTTTACCAAGGTCCATCATAAATCAGGCACATAGCCCGCTCGCTTCTTCTTCCTTGACATCTCCTCCAAGTATTCGTGAATTTCTTTGATCATCGGGTGGTAAATCTCTTCAGCCACAAAAACATGTACCCTCGTATTCACCTCGATCCAACCACAACCTGGTTTCTTCTTCACTCCTCTTATCTCGCATATGCTTTCTAATTGTTGCTACCTCTTCCCATTTGCCTGCTTTAGCAAATATATTTGACAGCACTACGTATGGAGCAGCATTTCGAGGTTCCAGACCGACGCATTGCATTTGCCGGGAACAATGAAGAGCATCTTCAGAGTACTCATCATTTTGAGAATACCCAGAAATCATCGTGTTCCAAAGAACCAAATCCGGAAAAGGGATCTCTTGAGACACTTTCCAGCATTCCGACATGCCACCAGCACACCTTGAATATAAATCAATCAAGCCACTCCCAACATGCGAATTCTGGTGGAAACCAGTTTTGATCAACTTAGCATGAAACTGAAGTCCACCCAACAAGTCCTCCACACACGTAAATGCAGTCAAAACACTTACCAATGTAAACATGTCGACATTGAACCCCCTCCGAACCATTTCCTGAAACAATCCCAGCGCTTTCAGTCCTTGGCGGTGCTGGCCATACGCCACAATCATCGAATTCCAAGACGCTTCATCTCTCACCTCTCCCATCACCAAGTACACCCACTTCGCCTCTTCCAAAAACCCATTTCTACTGTAGTAAGTTGCAAGAGAATTGTTTACCGAAACATATGAATCAAAGCCACCTGACACGACCACGGAATGCAGTTGCCTAAGCAAACCGACATCATCGCCACAGCCCGTGATCACAGCAGAGATGGTAAACCCATCCTTGTCAAGACCCAAATTTCTCATCCCAGCGAACAAGCTCAATGCCGGCTCAGTCTCTCCCCTATCGGCATAAGCAGAAATGAGGGTGTTATAGGAGACCAACACTCAACTCGAATCGTTCAACCCGAAAACTAGGTATTTTGGAGGCAATTCTTCGGCTAGAAGGCTTAACTCCCCGTGCAATCAACCGGCTAGTCTTGTGTTTCTACTGGGATCATGCGATGGTTTGGTATTTGTATCTCTAGATTCCTATGAAAACTTGTCTATCTGGAACCCATCAACTGGATTCCTCCACCACTTACATAACCCAGGTTTACTGGGAGTAGGGGACAAAAAACTTTGCAAACATGGTTTCAGCTATGTATCAGCCACAAATGGCTACAAAGCTTTCATTGGTTATTTTAGTTATGAGGATGATGTGTGGACGTTCCGAGTGAGTTGTTGATCTTCTCCTTGAGAGCCAACTCCTGGGAAAAAATTGAAGAACCTCACCCTTGTTACTTGTTCTATGAGCCCCAAGTCTTCCGAGTATGAGTCGGTAGCGGGTTTGACACCGACCTTTCATACAGAAAGCAGTACAGTTGTGGCGATATGGTATATATGGAAGAAATAAGTTGATAAGGATTGACAGGTAAAATGTTTGAGGTTTGCAGTCACCAATATACTGCACAGGATGTTTTACGTTCTTCCATCCAGTATGACGAGATCCTAATTTCTCTTGTTGAGTACCAAAACCCAGCACAAGGCAAATAAACAAATGGGAAATATCATACATGATTATTTGTGGTTCAAATGCTTTTAGAACTTTTTTCGTTTGAAACATTTAGCTCAGTGCAATGTATATTCTCGTCAATCTTTGTGTGTATTTAAAGTTGTCGTTCATTGTTTGCTAATCCACTGGCACTGTTATTGATTACTCAAATTTCCCATAATAATGCGGATGATTATGTTGAGATTTTCGATGATTTGCAAAAACAACCCCAGGCTCGCAAGAAACGGACAAATAAGTTTTGACTACTTCAGCCAAAGTTCATCCCGAGTTTTATCTTATTTTCTAAGTTATTTTATTCATATTGTATTTCTTGTATGCAAAAGGATTTGCACATAATCTTTATAAATTTGGAGGGAATCTGTCCTTTATGAAGATCGGTAAAACGATATAGAGATATGCAAAAAGATTTGCACATGGTCTTTATAGATTTGGAAAATCGTATGATAGAGTCCCAAGAGAAATTATTTAGAGGATTCTAGAGAAGAAAGAAATACGAGTAGCATATGAATGATGAAGCAAGGATATCAATAAAAATCATAAAGGACAAACTAAAAGCTTTTCCATAACCATAGGGTTATACCAGGACTCAGCTTTAAGTCTTACCTCTTTGCATTGTTAAAGGATGAATTAACGAGACATATTCAAGATGATATCCCTAGGTGTATACTTTTTGCAAATGTTATAGTGATGATAGATGAAACGCATGAGGGAGTAAATGTGATGCTTAACCTTTGGCGGAAAGTGTTGGAATCTAAAGGTTTTCGCCCAAGTAGGTCAAAGATAGAATACATGTCATGCAAGTTGGAATGAGGGTTCAAATGAGATAGGGGGTGAAGATTGGAGATCTGGAAGTACCAAAGAGTGAACGCTTTCATTATCTTGAATCTATATTGCAAAAGAACGAAGTATTAGATGGAGATCTCAACCATAGAATAAAAGGTGGATGGATGAAGTGGAAGAGTGCATGAGGTGTGTTGTGAAATTGTCATATGCTACTAAAACTCAAGGGAAAATTTTATAGAACACCAATAAGGCCAGTCATATTTTATGGCATAGAATGTTGAGTGGCTAGGTATCAACACGTCCAAAAAAATGAGTGTTGTGGAGAAGAGAATGCTTTATTGGATGTGTTGGTACATGAGAAATGACATGATTAAGAATGAGGTTATCTGACGTAAGGTAGGAGTGGTTGCAATTGAATATAAGATGAGAGAAAATCGATTAAGGTGATTTTGATATATGAATTGAAGACCTATAGATGCTTTGTTTAGAAAATGCGGTTGTGAGACAGATGATTAGAGCAAAAAGGGTAGAGGAAGACCTAGAAAAACTTGGAAAAAGACCTTAAGAAATGACATGGGGTATTTGGAGCTAACGGAAGACTTGGCGCAAAACCAAGCACAACGGTGTTCTATAATTCATACAACCAAAGAATAAGTGTAGCTCCTCCTAGATGATGAAGAATATAGTGTAAGAGTGTTTTAAAGTTTAACCTGTGTTTTAAGCATGATTATCCTACCAACTTAATTTAACTTTTGAACAAACACTCACAAGTTTAAGGAGCAAAGATAATAGAAAATTTGAAAAAAAAAAAAACAAAGATAATAGAAATTTGGAAAAATTATGTCCTTAAAGCAATTGCATGTATTAGCCTTGAGGTATAGTTTGGTAACTTTAAGTTGTTTTGTTTATCCAGATCAATTAACCAATTGGAGAAGTAAATTACCGTTCTCGTAAGGTTTGTGCTATTCAGACATTATTATTTTTTTATCTCTTATATATCTTTATTAATTTTATTTATTGATCTTCTTCAATTCATTCGATCTGACGATCGAAAATTAAGAGGGGTGTGTGAGAGATAAAATTAGGTGTGTGAATAGTACCACCCTTCTTGTAATTGCATGATGAGTTAGACGCTTTGTGTATTTTAGTGATGATCTTAGCCTAATTTAAACTTGGCCGGGGAAAATTTGAATTTGAGTGGAGCACATTTGATCTAGCGAATGTGGCTATAGCATCCACGTCTATACTATAATTTCATGTTACAAATTTTATGGCGCATACTTAGTGTAATGTAACAAATTATAGTGAACTAAACAAGTTATATGGAACTCAATACATGGAACTTAATTACTACAGTTGGAACTACATCCTTTTCACTGTTAGGATGGAATTGTATAACGGAAGTATTTTTTTTTATCACCACTTTAACTTTGTTGTATGGTGAAAAGACACATGTAAAATGATTAGGTGTATGGTGAGCATATAACCCTTACAAATTACAAATGTTACAAGAATCTCTTTTGCATATTTGGTGAAAAGTCCTTATACCATTTATTTGCTTTTGTGTTACGTTTGTTTTGTTTATCTAAGTTGATTAACCTACTGCACATGTCATACTCTTTTTCCTAAGGAATAATACTTGTATTATTTCCTAGAAGATGAACCCATTCTCTCACTTGTGATTTTTAATGGTGTTTGAATTTCTTCTTTTTACTTCAATACAAAATTTTCTTATGAATTATTATCCCTTATCAAAGAAAGAAATTCAACATTACACACATGCATTTGACCTTCTTGATGAGGAGTAATGGCTCTTCCAACCTTGGTCTTAATCCAATTGCCATTTCCGTGCACACAGCCAATTTCAGCGCTTTGGAGATTTAGGGAAACAAATAGACTCAACACAACCTAATTGACCATAAGTTATTAAAAAAATAATAATCATTGCTGAGGTTGAGTGGATTGGTTGGTTTTACATTTATTTCATTTTTCATCTAACAATTTCATTCATTGGCGACCTTCTCCTAATTCACCGTCAGTTTAGAACAAGGAAATACTGGAATTTCTTCAAAATGGCTTGTTTAACCCAGGAAACTGATGACTGCCCGACCACATATTCCCCTACCACTCCCCATTTCTTCAAGATCATTGTAAATGACACTTCCAAATACAACAAAATTGTAAGCACCCCTCTCTCTCTCTCTCTCTCTCTCTCTCTCTCTCTCTCTCTCTCTCTCTCATGTTTGCTGCAGTAGTTAGGTTATATAGTATTGACATGATTCATTTCTTCGACACAAAGGATCAACTAATTTTTCACACTTTAAAATTAAAGTCGAAATTTCTCTGTTTTGCAGAAAATTCCGACGAAATTTGTGATGAAATATGGAGATGGTCTGTCAAATTCAGTTGTTCTTCAGGTTCCAAGTGGTCCGGAATGGGAGATGGAACTTAGAAGATATGATGGTGAGGTTTGGTTGGAGAAAGGTTGGCCAGACTTCTCACATTTTTACTCTCTAGACTTTGCTCATTGGCTGGTTTTTGGGTACGAAGGGAACTCGAAATTCCTGGTTCGCATATTTGATAGAAGCTGCACAGAGATTGAGTATCCACTACAAACTCCTGAGGAGAAAGAAACTGATGAAGATTCCATTTCCAATAATTCTGATCATGATTCTAGTGATGATGCTCGTGATGATTATGAGGCTCATTCTGGCGATGATTCTGTTCAAATCTTAGAGGAATTGTCACCCTGCCAAAGAGAAACAAAAGGGAAATCTCCATTGCCGTGTCCTCGACCTCACAAGAAGGATATAACAAGTTCAAGTGGTAAGGCAAAAACCAATATCAAACTTGTACAATGTGGTTCCATATCCATACATACCAATTAGAAATTCTGAATGTGTGAAATGATGCTCAAGAAATCAATGAAAAACAAAGATCCACAATGACCGATATCAGAAGCGGAAGTTACAAATTTTAATTTTATTCCCTATTTTTTTCCTTACTGTGTTTTCTGCGTCATTCTTGTTTAACTTAAAATATCCTCATCATATTCTTTTAACAGGCAAAGCTGGTCCCTCTGCAAGGGCAAAGGCTAAAGCTCTTCAGATGGTTAGTTCCTTTACATCTGAATACCCTTTTCTCAAGGTTGCCATGCAGCCCACATATCTCCAATATTGCTATTTGGTAAGCTTGCGATAAAGCACTCAAAAATTTGGTTAACATATCTATCCCTACCGAGAAAATTTAATCGTAAGCAGTCTTGCCTAAATTATTGACTTTCTGCTTTACCCCTTTGTTTTTCCAGAGCTTGCGATCCAAGTTTGTCAAGAAACATCTTAGCAAGACTTGTGATCATGTCTTCCTTCGGCGTTCAGATGGGAGAACTTGGCGTGTCAAACTAGAACAATATGAGACTGGAAGATGCAGATTGCTGAGTGGTTGGAAGAAATTTGTGCAAGAGAATAGTTTGGCGATTGGTGATGTGTGTGTCTTTGTGTTGATTGACAACATCAAACCTTTATTCAATGTTATCTTCTTCCCCACCACGTAGAAAGCTGCAAATTGCACCTCCAATAATTGCAAGAGAAGAGTGATGGATGAAGTCGTTGAAGTTGAATATTGCAACATGAATACTACCTAGCTTAAGATCATTATATATATACTTCTTGATGATTGATCATTCTGTTTATTCAAACTTTATATTAGTTAATCTGTGCTTGTTTACTTTCCCTTATTAATCTATCATGTTCTTGGTTCTCCATTGAAGCAGATTGTTCGAGCCTTTGTTTGATGTACTCGGCAAGTTGTGGAACGATATCGTTTGTGAAATTTGACTGGAAATCCTTTCAGCTTTAAACAAATCCAAGGTTTTCAACAAAACTCAAAATTTATATATACTAAAGCGGAAGGAGAAAAACACTGTTCATAAGCAACAATATTTTGACGTTTGAATTAGACTTGACATTCGTGTCGTGTTTTCCGTGTTCGTGTTATACCCGATATCTTAACGGGTCATTGTGAACACGGAAATTTTCCTGAAACAAACGAGACAAGAACACGTGTACAAAATAATATTTGTATTAATGATTTTGGGGTTACAATCTCTCTGAAAATTGATCCTCTGATTCGATCTCCGTAAGGTGTTATTTGTGGATGTGCGATTGATCCAAGGGCCGTCGAGGCTTGATCTTGGATGAACGGTTGAAAGTTTCTTCAAGGACCGTTGAGGCTTAATCTTGAAGGTTGAGGGAAGTTTCTTCAAGGGCCTTTGGGCTTGATCTTGAAGGTTGATGGATGAACGGATCTTCAAGGCTTTTGGGCTTGATCTTGAAGAACTGTTGATGAACGGATCTTCAAGGGCATTTGGGGCTTGATCTTGATGAACAGTTGATGAATGGATCTTCAAGGGCTTTTGGGCTTTATCTTGAAGAACGGTTGGATATGTGGATTTGTTGATGTTGTTGATCCAAATGGCCGTTGGGGCTTGATCTTAGGATGAACGAATGATGAATGATGAACCCTTTCTTCAAAGGCCGTCGGGGCTTGATCTTGAATTGGTGGAAGTTCCTTCAAAGGGCCATTGGGGCTTGATCTTGAAGGTTGGGTTGACGAAGAACGAAGAGAGCTTTCTTGATCCTTCAGGATTTGCTTGGGAGCTTTGGAGTTTCAAAGGTTCAAGGTTTTGGTGTGAGGTGAATTGGTTATAAATTGATCTCCCCTAAAATGAATGAAATGGCTTCTATTTATAGAATTTTCCAAAGCCTAATTTTGAATATATTATTCAGATGAAATAAATCGTTTTTGCTAGGTGTTGACACGTGTCCTGTTTGATGACTTTTCTGATGATTCTTGATTTTTCGTTGAGTCACCTGCTATGTGTAAAATTTATGTGACACGTGAATGTTGAAATTTTAATTATTGATCAACATTTATTTCATCGAAATTTCGATGTCTACAAATGCCCCCACTTCAAGGCACGCCGTATACATGTGCTTGTCATGTGTAGAAGATGCGTTTTGAAGTCCCTTAATGTATATGTCGATCCAATGGCCGTTGATGGTTGATCTTGAATTGGGCTGGAGATTTCTTCAAGGGCCGTTGAGGCTTGATCCTTCAAGGCGCGTCGTATACATGTGCTTGTCACGTGTAGGAGATGCGTTTTGAAGTCCTTTAATGTAGATGTAAATCCAAGGGCCATCGAGGCTTGATCTTGAATTGGGCTGGAGATTTCTTCAAGGGCCGTTGAGGCTTGATCTTGAATCGGGCTGGAGATTTCTTCAAGGGCCGTTGAGGCTTGATCTTGAATCGGCTAGAGATTTCTTCAAAGGCCGTTGAGGCTTGTTCTTGAACTTTGTTTGAAATTTCTTCAAGGGCCGTCAAGGCTTCATCTTGAAAGTTGAAATTGGACCACAAGGAGCTTCACGTGGTAGATGATCTTTGGCTTTGGTAGTGGATGAATCGGCATATATTTTGTTACGCTTGTTGACTTTCCACAGCTTTGATCTTGAACTGGGTTGGAGGATTTTTTTGATTCCTCCAATTGTTGACTTTCCACAGGCTTATTCTTGAACTGGGTTGGAGGATTTTCTGGTTTCCTCCAATTGTTGACTTTCCACAGGCTTATTCTTGAACTGGATTTGATTCAAGGGTGGTGGACACTTGATCTTGAATCAGACTTGTGATTTCCTCAAGGGCCGTCCAGACTTGATCTTGAATTTGGCTGGAAACTTCTTCAAGGGCCGTGGTTTGATCTTGAAGGTTGATTCGACCACATGGAAAGTAGGCACGAGGTGAAGGTGATGGCCTGTTTCTTTATTCAATCTTTCTAATTCACACATGAGCAGTTTGGTCAACGGTATAATCTTCAAAAGTAGTGGGCGCTTCTTCTAGTTGGTGACTTGATCTTTAAGGATTTGATTCAAAGGTGGTGAATCGGCACGTGCAGCTCACAACACCTAGCGGGTCGACCCAAGAATTTGAAGGTCAAAACAAGTCCACCAAACCTAGAGTGATTGCAACCCTGGTGATATGAGATACTTTTGATTTTGAAGAAGTAGCGGATGAATCGACACGTGCTTTGTTGTGCTTATCTTCACATGCTTCAATGTATCATTTTCCCTTGCCTTATCTGTTCTTCAGGCAGATGTGGTATCTTCTCTGGAAGCATAAGATGTTGAAACAATGGGTACTTCGAGATGAGTGCTAGGTAAGCAATCAAGGAAGGGTTCCAAGCAGTCGATTCTTGACTGGGCGTTTGACTTCAAGTTCTGACTGAAGGCTCTCATTCTTCTTGCCCTGCAAGTAAGAACAAGGACAAAGAAAAGGATAGGAAGAAAGCATGATATGAAATACTCTTGCTCTCGAAGAAGTGGTGGCGATTTAACAGCGTTGCACAACGAGGCTTTGTTCTGCGACGATGGTGCCAACGAAAGGCTATTGAAGCTTCTTGAGCTCTTTGATTAGGGTAATGAGGCTGAGCTTGGCTTTGATTTAGACTCCTCAATCTAGGTCATACGGTTCTGCAGGGAAAGGCATCATGCTTATCATTGATCCTTCTGCTTCGATCTCTTGTAGTATTTGCCTCCTATGCAGGAGTGGAATGCAACCCTTGCACTTGGATGGTTTTTCAGAGCACTACTTCTCAGCGGCGATGAGCACTCGAGAGCAATGCCAGGTAAGCAACCAGGCAAATGTTCCAGGCAGTCGGTTCCTTACTAGGAGTTTGAATGGATGTTCTGACATATTGATTTCTTTATCCTTGTCTTCGCAGGTAAAAATAAGGACAAAGGAAAAGATAGGGAAAAAGCATGATATGAGATACTCTTGCTTTCTACCCTGATGATATGAGATACTTTTGCTTTGGTGTCATTTGTTTGCAAGGGTATTTCCGAAGATGAAGAAAATTGAGTATTTCGAAAGGCTCTGCTGGGAGTGCACTCTCGGAAGTGAGGAAGAGTTCGGCATTTTTGCAGGTCTACCTTGCTATGAAGGATGAAGGTCGACATATATAGGAATTTCCCAATAGCTAGTAGTGGCACTATTCCTTTACTCTTGTCGGCAACCGTTGGGTAATTGAAACAGTAAGATTCACGCGTTTTCGACTTTGTCAGAAATCTTTGACAAAGTTGCGCATGATTTCCGCAAAGTTGAGGTTGCGTGTGGAAGGTGCTGACAAATCCTGAAAAGCCGGTCTTTTGAAATTCGGAGAGCGGTGCCTCTTCGATCTCTAAACAAGTAGCCTTGTTGCCTCTTTGATTTCTGAACAAGTGGCTCGGTTTGAAATTTGGGGAGTGGTGTTTCTTTGATTTCTGAACGGCCATGTTGCCTTTTCGATTTATGAACATGCCCTGTTGCCTCTTCTTTTTTATAGAGGCATTAATCGTGTTAAAAAACACACTTAGAGAGTTGCTACCTGCTAGGAATTTCCCTCATTTTGTATTTCTAAGAATTCGACTTACACGACCTCTTCTTCTTTCATCATTTTTTTGCAAATGGCTTGCCCATCTGATCGTCGTCTTGATTTTAATGTTGGGGAAGATGCTGATATGTCTTCTCCAGACAACCTATGGCATCCATCATTCCTATCCGCCACCAGTCTTCTTACAATTGGGGACTCTGTGATGAAGAACGACATAACCGCCACGGTGGTTGCTAGAAATCTTCTCACCCTCAAGAATAATAGGATCATTTCCAAACGGTCTGATAAGCTGGCTGTTCAGGCTCTTTAGCCTTCAGTGTCCAGTGTGCAGGTTCTGTATCGAACATGGGCCTACGCCTTCTTGCTCGAACCCGTCAAGTTGAGTTACTGATGGCCGAGGTGGCAAGTCTTAAGCTAGAGATTAGAAGGCTTAAGCATGAAAACAGAGAGTTGCACATGCTTGCCAATAGTTAAGCTCGACCAGCTGTAGGAATCTGAAAGTTGGATTCAAAGTGACCATTGGACGTTTGTGGCTTTACTCCAAAGGCATCTACTGCCTTCGTCCTCCAAAGCTCTACCAAGTGTTGAGGCTGCAAATAATCAACTTCTGATGCCTCCTCTTTTTGGAGCTCCGCCGAGTACTGAAGCGCCATTTGATCAACCTTTGTGAAGGCTCCCTCCTGTTTGCTCCTTTTTTTTTTTTTTTTTTTTTTTTTTTTTTGTCTCATGTAAAATATACATTTATGTAAATTTTTAGAGAAATCAATAAATGAGGCTTTTTTTTTATTCAATATATATATATATATATTTTTTTTTTCTTTTCTTGCACATGGTGCCAGATGCACCATCATTCTTTTATATTATTATTATTATTATTTTTTCTTTGCTTTCGGTGGTGCTGATTCACCACTTTGCTCCATTATCCCATTTTTTTTTATATTTCTTTCTTTTCATTCTTTCACATGGTGAGGCACCATTTCAAAACTTTTTATTGTTTTTTTCTTTCATATGGTGCATTCCGCGCACCATCGTACCTCCCTACTTTCTTTTGCATTTTTTTATTCATTTTATTTTTTATCCTTCTTTTCAAAATAGCCTGATGGTGATGATCCTTTATAATTATTTTTTTATTTTTTTTCCACATAGTGCGGTGCACCATTCCTGAAACCTTTATACTTTTTTTTTGTCGGCCAACACCTTATCTTTCTTTTCTATATATCCCCACATGGTGCTTGGCGATGGGCAGAAGATGGAGCAGAGCTTTGGAGCACTAGTGCTTCAGCAATGGAGGGATTGGAAGCTCTCGTGAGCTTTGTGACCAGGCTGATCATCTTCGGTGGGAGATCAT